TTGTAGCGTTTATAAAAACCTACTGTACTTTTCATTTAATTTTCATTTCACCGGAGGTAATCCTAATTGATTTTAAAGAAAGTTTCTGAGGAGTAGGCAATCCAATTTACACCTTTTGCCTCGCTAGGATTTTCACTTCTCATTACACATATGGTATTTAGTTTCTGGTACAGATTGTTAAGTTTTTTTCCAATAGGACCGATTCATTCGGATCCCTTCGAGGTAGATTTTCTATTTCCGTTAAACCGAAAGTCAGGAATGAGATGTTGCCAAAATTATTTGGGTGAATTCCTCAGAATAGACTTGCGCTGTAGGTGATTCTTGATTATGAGAACGGCAAGGAGTGGTGTTATTTTTTGGAAAGGAGTGATGAACGAGAATCTCGAGAGGGGATTTGTTGAGTGGTGAGCCGTGTGGTCCATTTTCAAGAACTAGAACGATATCGTTTCGGATATAGTTTCATGTATAAATTTTGAGAGTTCCATAAAAGGTTGCACTTCCTGAGGATTCTACTGGGTCACAACCACTTTTCCAGAACGAGCGACGCCATTTCCTTGAAGACGTTATTCGTGATTTTATTGGTTAACGGAACCCTTCATTTAAGAAGGTATGAAAATTCATTTCGAACCTTTCAATTGCGTATACTTGTTTTTGAATTTAACGGAACAATTTTATCTGGAAAATTTCTCAGAAAACATCAATGATGTTTCAATTACTGTCTTTATTACATGCCTTTAAATTAAAATCAAGAGTATTCAAGCAAAGTTATTGTTTTTTCTGTACTTTATTTCAAGCTCCAGTGTTGTTAATGATAATAATATCGTTTATTATGCCTAAAAAGTAGATTTTGTACATGAAAAGAAAAAAGTTAGCCAGACGCTATCTGCCGTCCTTTCCAAAACTTGGCCATATGTATGACAGAATGCCTACTTATTGTAGTTCATGAAGGGCTGTATATCAATAAATTGTGGATTATTTGGAGAGATACTTTGTGAGTATCAATCGGGTTTTCGGAGCAAACATAGTTGTGAAACTGCGTTACAATGTGTTTTAACAGATTGGAAGGAAGGTGTGGAAATGGATCAGTACACTATTGCAGTATTTCTTGACCTTCAAAGGACATTTGAAACTGTAGATAGATGCAGACTGGTTAGAAAGATTGAAAGCTTAGGTATTGATGGAATAGCACTAAACTGGATCATGAGTTATCTGAGCAATAAACAGCAAAGGTTGAAAATAGAGAAAGTTTATTCTGATGAATGCAAAATAGTATAGGTGTACCCCAAAGGTCTATTTTAGGACCATCGTTATTCCTTATATATTGAAATGGCATTGTAACCATAGCAAAATAATGTAGAATTCGCTTATTTGCCGACAATACCCTACTGTACTTTACTAGTGAAAATGTACATGAGTGTGTTGATACTATTGATGCTAGTCTTGAAAGGGTGTATAGATATTGCTCTGCAAATCTACTGAAGGTGAATATAAATAAAACAAAATGGATGTTATTAGGGAAACACAGAGATGATACTAATGAAAACCTACTTCTACGATTGAAGGACAGTAATATAGAGAAGATAAACAAAATCGTGTACTTGGGTGTAACTATCGACAGGTCGATCGGTAGCCAAGCGGTTCGGCGTGGGTGATTTGTTCACTCACTCGAATTGACTGCCGTGTTGGTCGGTGGTTCAAGCCCTATTCTGAACGATCGAATGCTTACAATTGTACTGTGTTCACGACTCGTCTAATATAATCAATTAGCATTTTGGAAGTGATTATAAAATACCAACAAAATAAAACTGTCGTAGCATCATAAAATTATGAATTTTGCTGTTTGGGTAAGGAACGACCGATTTTTTTCAATAATATGCGGCTGGGTATAGGAAATTTTTTAGGTGGAGTGTACGGACACAAATTAGCAGTTTCTTCATCTGTATCAGTACTTGGCATTTCAAAAATTTCAAACCTAAAAATATCGTTAAAACGTAACTGACCACTTCGAAACTGTAACAATGAGTTTCGCCAGCCGATTGCAGTTGATCTGATTAGGTAGCGTAAGGAAGCTCGTTTATTTTACCTAACAGTTGCAAATGTTAGTGGTGATCATACTTTGACCACGCATCTATCTTTGTTTAGATTATTTTGTTGGATGAATATAGTTTAGAGACTTCAAGACCGACTCATTGGGAAAGGTAGGAGAAAAGTTGTGGGTCACATACCGATACCGATAGTGACCATAAGGTCATTGAACGCTTTGAATGGGCTTAGGCGTTATGCCTACCAAAAAGTCATAAAGTAGGTAGGTGGTCTCTACCTGTTTTTATTTTTCCCAAATGTTCATCGATAATGCATTTTTCATAACGACTAACCAAGATACATGTATTCGTCCCAACTTCGATATCAGGTAAAAAGTGCGGATCACCACACATACGAAACCTCTTTCTGATATTAGTTTCGTTTTAACTAAAATGAAGTAGCATTTTCATTTAGAAAACAAGAAGCATCTGGTAATTCAAAATTTCAACAAAAATCAAATCAATCTGAGGCTATCGAAAAACCTTACACACGCCAAGAAAATTATCATTTCGAATTGAAATCCATTTCACTTATTTTCTAGGCTTTTGACATCAAATCAGTCAATCGGTTGGCATACTCAACATATTGATTCGATTTATGATGACTTTGCATCTCAAAATTTAATTTAATCTTCCTCTGTTCGAGTGAAATAAGGGAGCATGTTGCATGTAGGACTATTATTTTCAACAGGTCTCTGTTGAATCACATTTCTTTTCAAATTTGTTTTCAGTAGGGATTTTCTGTTGAAAACTCATAGAAGTGACTACGAAACATTGTCAACCACCTTCAAACAAACGTCTGTTATGGCCTAAAATAGTATAATAAAAACCAATAATCGTCAACTTCACAGAGATACATTTCTACGTAAAAATCAAACACTTGTCAGTCACTGCCACTCCAAAACAACCCTCATGCCAAAAATCTGGCATGGAAACACTATTGTAATAAGAGCAATGTCACAAAAAATTCTGTCTGAGTTTTTATGGAATTTCAAACCAGGTAAACCTGAAAACACAATTTCTTTATTCGAAATGTTCAAACCAAGCACTAATGAAAATAAAAAAAACTCACGGTGAAAGATTTTTTCTTTCAAACTCAAAGAGTCTGTTACAATTAGAAATCTATCAGCAGGATGTAGTAGCAGTAGAATTTGGGGGAGAGTAGCATTTTTTGAGAAATAGGATAAAGAGGAGTCACATATAGGGGATTGATCATCCAAGAAGAAGGCGTAGTTATGGAGTTAGAAAATAATGGAGGAAGTGCATACTCTAATTGTTCTAAATATTTGTTTATCCTTTCGTGAAAAGGAGGGTCTGTCTTTGGATGTCCCGTGAAATTTTGTTTGAAACGACTTGAAAAAACATTATTATATGTACAATGTGTTGGTTTGGTTTCAATAGAAGTAGCATAAGAGAAACTCATATATTGTCTACGGTACCTTAATGAGATTTCATTTGCTTCGCATGATAAGCTTTCGATTGGGCTTGTTCGATAAGTTCCTAATGCTATTCAAAGTGCTGTACTTTGAACAACGTCTAGTTTATGCACTTTTTGGTATGTCTTTGAGCTCTCTCAG